TGGACTATCTGAAGGGTTTTTTTTTTTTGTTGTTTATTTGTCTGTTTGATTTTTGGAGACAGGGTTCCTCTGTGTGGCTTTGGAGACTGTCCTGGGTGGCCTTGAACTCACAGAGATCCACCGCCTCTGCCTCCCTAGTGCTGGGATTAAAGGCGTGCGCCACCACACCTGGTTTTGAAGTATTTTTGAATAAAACTTCTGGTGTTCCTTTCAATCTGTTGCCCAGGAGAGTACATGGGACTTCTAGTACTCTGTACCTTCTGCCTTGCTGCTAGATGTCCCAGGCCTGCAGCAGTTGATAGACAGTCAAAAGAAGACAAGGTTATTTGGAATCCAGCCCAAGAACTTCCTTTGTTTCTTTTGAGGATATCTATGCATGTTGTGTGTTGGTATGTTTTCTCTACAGGCTCCTAAAGGTCAAACCGGAGGAAAGACTCACCATTGAGGGAGTGCTGGACCATCCCTGGCTCAACTCCACAGAGGCCCTGGATAATGTCCTGCCCTCTGCTCAGCTGATGATGGATAAGGTTCTGAGTGAGACTTATTTTGTTGCCTGAAAAGACAGTGTGAGAAAGGGCTACTGAATATAGGACTTAAAGGGAAACAGGAAAGCTTGTTTTCTCCTATTTCCTGAAAATAGAACAGGCCCCAAGGACTATCCTTTGCACTTGCTGTGTGGGTTTGATGGCACAGGACATAAAAGGTCCTTTCCCCCAAGATGTTTATGTCAGGTCGTTGGAAAGGCAAGCAAATGAAATGTGAGTATTTTAGAAACAGATCTTGCATGCTGTGGGAATTCAGAAGTTGGCATCTCTGAGGGTGTGTGCTGCCTAGGATGAAGGCAAAGAGCCTCACACTTACTGGCTGCCTTCTATCTTGAGGAACATTAAAATCTGCGTGTGCCACCATGTGCATCCAGGTGCCTCTGGAGGCCAGAAGAGAGCATCAGATCTTGATCTGGAGCCATAGGTTGTTGTGAGCCACCTGCTGTGAGTGCAGGGGAACTGAACTTGAGTCCTCTGTAAGAACAGTGCGTTTCTAACTGCTGAGCCATCTCTCTAGCACCTTTAGTACTTCTTACTGAAGAAGGCTAGCTGGTAGGTGGCCTATGTGTGGTCTGCTGGTCCCTGCTGATCCAGGGGAGGGAGAATCCTCTGCCTGATTAAAAAAAAAATTGTATGGATCTTCTTTGTCTTGAATTGGCTTTTAAGTTGTTAAGTAACAAATGTGGAAACAAGCGAACAAAGCTAGGCACAGCAGCACAGCACTCCTGGCACACACTCGGGAGCTTAAGTTGGTAAATCACACGAATTTGAGAGTTCAAGATGAACTTGGGCAACACAGCCAAAAAGAATATATATATATATTTTAAATCCAGAAGGTCAGGGTAACTGATGATAGCATTTACATGCAGGCAGTGGTTGCAGGAATCCAGCAGGCTCATGCTGAGCAGCTGGCCAACATGAGGATCCAGGACCTCAAAGTTAGCCTCAAACCCCTACACTCCGTGAACAACCCCATCCTGAGAAAGAGGAAGTTACTTGGGTAAGTGAGCTTATTTCTTTGATCTTCTTTATGATAGGCATGGTTGAGTGCCAGGGGTCTGCTCTCTTTCTGCAGAGGGAAGACAGTATAAGTGCCTCAGAAGTTGGACATACTCTATTAGTTCCTTTTTTTTTGAACGTTCTGGTATCTTGAGCTGGGTTCTGAGGTCTTACCTTACTATTATCTTTCCCCACACTTGTAAAGCACCAAGCCAAAGGATGGTATTTATATACACGACCATGAGAATGGAGCTGAGGATTCAAATGTTGCCTTGGAAAAGCTTCGAGATGTCATTGCCCAGTGTATCCTCCCCCAGGCTGGTAAAGGTCATGCCACTTACTAATGTTCTGCATGTGTGTGTCTGTGTGCCTGAGACAAGAGGAGCGAATAATTTGTGGTGGTCTGTTTGTGTCTTACATTAAGTACATTATATAAATGAGTCTACATCTACTAGGAGGTATAAACAGTGCTAACTGCAGACACATGGTAAGTTTGTGTCTTTGGTCTTCAGTGAACTTCTTGTTTAGTCTGTCTGCTAATGCCAGGTGTGGCATGTGATTTGTGTTGTCTGAGCTTCACAAGGAAGGCACAAAGTAGAGAGTAAAGGATGGAAATGTGGACTAGGTCTAGATTAAAGGCCATCAACGCCATTTCCAGAGCCTTTATACTGCAGCACTGTATCTGTGAGGATAAGGACACTGCATGGGCTCACAACCAGCCCTGCTGCAGCTTCCGTCCTTGGACTTCACTGGCCTTTTTACAGGAGAGAGCCTCCCTGTCCAGATGGCTATGATGTGAGTGGCTCTTCTCATATTGAGTAAGGCTTCATGTTCGTTGGGGTCAGAAAAAGTTGGATTAACCCGTCTTCCTAAATCATTTGCCATTTAAGAGTCTGGGAACATGCCTGAGTATTTTGAAGCGAGGGATGAGTGTAGGAAGAGGGCAGAACTCACAGACTTGTTACTTCTTCCCTTTTGGCTAGTTGTTTTTTGGGGTTTTTTTTCTTTTTCTTTTTTTTTTTCTGTTTGTTTGTTTGGTTGGTTGGTTTTTCGAGACAGGGTTTCTCTGTAGCTTTGGAGCCTGTCCTGGAACTAGCTCTTGTAGACCAGGCTGGCCTGGAACTCCCAGAGATCCATCTGTCTCTGACTCCAGAGGGCTGGGATTAAGGGTGTGTGCCACCACTGCCTGACTGTTTGGAGGTGGAGGAGGGCTAGGTGTTTTTGTTCAGAAACGCCTCTCACATTTCTCTTGGGTTGTCAGAACACGTGTGTGAAGATGCACACTTAGAAGAGCTCAGTGACAAGAGGGTCAGCCTGGCACACCAGGACCCGCAGGAAGCCAGCAGATTATACATTTTGTCTTACTTTTCTCACCTAGTTGGGCCTCATGCCCTTCCATTTATGACACTAAAATCCCATGATGCTACTTAAAATCGAAACTTCCTCCATTCTTGCCCATAGGAGAGAATGAAGACGAGAGATTGAATGAAGTAATGCAGGAAGCCTGGAAGTACAACCGGGAGTGCAAGCTCCTGCGGGATGCTCTGCAGAGCTTCAGCTGGAACGGTAAGCCAGCCCCTGGCATTTAGACACCGATGGTCTCGCTGAGGCCAGAGCCAGGTGAGGATGATGTGTGACGAGAAGGGGCTCTGGGAGGCAGGCTCTACTTTACCTGCCCAGGCATCTCTGGTGTCTGCTCTGTGCATTTGGTTTCCAAGTGCAAGTGCATCGTGTGTTATAAAATGAACACTGGAGAGCTCTCTCAAATAGTTCTTGAGGAGAGAAAAAAAAAGACAAAAGTGAAAGCAGATTCTCTTTTTTTTTTTTTTTTTGGGGTTTTTCGAGACAGGGTTTCTCTGTGGTTTTGGAGCCTGTCCTGGAACTAGCTCTTGTAGACCAGGCTGGCCTCGAACTCCCAGAGATCCACCTGCCTCTGCCTCCCGAGTGCTGGGATTAAAGGCGAGCGCCACCACCGCCCGGCTGCGAAAGCAGATTCTTAACCCCACATTCCTGGGCTGTTCACTAGGTGATCAAGGAACAGCAGCACACAGTTGGGGAATACCAGAAAATTCCCCTAACCGGCTGTTAAACTCAGAGTCATTTGACTGAGGAGAAAGGTTGGCAGGTCTGCCACTGGGCAACCTTCTTCCCACTAAAACAAGGTGGAAAGGAGAGGTGCCTTTTTCCTACTCGGCTCAGCTCTCAGCAGCTTGTGGTGACATCTGCCAAGAAGACTGCCAAGAGCTGCCGCAGTGCCGTCAGAAAGGGGAGGCATGTGCTTTGACTCTATTCCTCTGCCTGTGTCCTCAGTGGGCCTGGCTGCTCCACACCTGAAGAGAGTCTAAGACAGGGACCTGTACAGAGTGTGTGCTGGGTGCCAGCAGCAGTCCAGGAGAACTGCAGTGCTCTCCATCTAGCCTCCATTCAAAGGCTATTCCAACCCTGACGCTTAGTTCTATAGGCTGCGGGGGGGGGGGGGGGGGGGGGGGGGGGGGGGGGGGGGGGGGGGGGGATGTTGTTTGATTTTATGTGTTGTGTGTGGATGTGGACATTCGCGCTAGTGTCTGCACAGTTCACAAGGGAAGTCAGAGTGCCTGGAGCTGCAGTTAATGGTGAAGCCACATGTGGGTGCTGGAAACTGAACCTGTGTCCTCTGCAAGAACAGCAAGTGCTCTTAACCTCCTGCCCAAAGTTTTGTATTTTATGTAAACAAAATCAGACAGATCTATGTTCTTTTGTCTCTGGCTTCTTTTTTGTCAGTATTGTTTTTGTGTGTTCCATTCACATTCTCATGAATATACTGTCCACTCACCACTGAGTGGACACGTCGTTTGTTTTGAGGTTCTAATAAACAAGGAAAGGTTGTTGGGAATACTTTTCTATGTCCTGATGAACAGCTTGGCTTTGTTTTGTTTTTCGAAACAGGGTTTCTGTGTGTAACAGCCCTGGCTGTTCTGGAACTTGCTCTGTAGAACTCACAGAAATCTGTCTGCCTCTGCCTTCCCAAGTGCTGGGATTAAAGGCGTGCACCACCCCACCCAGCTTCTAGGCAGTTTTCTAGCTTGGGTATGAGTGCCTTGTTGGAAGGCGTCAGTGATCTCTGGTTTTGTGGCATGTGGAACTGCTCACTTGCTGCTTGAAAGCAGAGGCTCCGAGCTGCTTTTGAACAGTGTGGTGAACTCTGGCTGGTGAGGTTGTTTGAGTTGGAAAACTGACCTCATTCTTTCTTGAGTTTCAGGTCGTGGATTCACAGATAAAGTAGACCGACTGAAGCTGGCAGAGGTTGTGAAGCAAGTGATCGAAGAGCAGACTATTCCCCATGAGCCCCAATAGTAAAACTTCAAACTGTTTTTAACAATTGGAAAAAATATTCCTTAATGTAAAAAGTAATTTTTATGTAAATTAATAAATCATAATTTCATTTCCTTGTTGCTTAATGTTGCTGTTTAGATTTAGTGTCAGAGTTTCCTAACAGTTAACTGTTTTCCTTTAAAACAAAAAGCTCAGTTCCTATACTATTGACATAGGATAGTCGAGTCTTGTAGTATAAGACGACACTGTCAAGAAAGACGGGTATAGTCACAATAAAGTGTTAGCAACGATTTGTCAGAGGCAGGTAGAAGAGCTGCGCCAGTCTCTGCTCAGTCTCTGTTGCTTCAAGCACTGTGGAGCCTTGCTCCATTTGCTTTGACTGTTGCTCACTGGTCTTAGGTAGATTAATTCTAGTGCTGACCTGTTTTTATGAATCAAGTATTTCTGTCCTCCCCTGCTCCCCTGGCTTCTCTCTGGCATGATTTTACTGAAAAACGTCAGAGGGTCCAATCTTGTTTGGTTATTTTTCTCTTGTGGCTTTCCATAAGTAGTTGTTCTGCCTGGATTTACTTGCATCCTCCTGGCTGTGTTTATTTTCTTCAGTATCCTTCGATCTCAGGTGGCATAATTAAGCAGCTTTGGTTTCTTACTTACTGTGTATGTAGGCACAGCCAACCCCTCTCATAGTGTTTGGTTTTTTAGAGCTGTTTCTGGTGACTGCCTTTACCTGCACACATAAGAGCTCACAGGTAGGACGAGTCTTCTGTCTCAGTTGTTCAATTTTGTTTCCTCCTCTTCAGTCAAAGTGGATTTCATGGAATTTGTTACTTTCTAGCTCCTGAGTGTTGTCACTGTTCTCGGGGGCTATGTGATAAAAATCGCAGTGTCCTTGGAGCCTGCTGTGGGAGGAAAGGCTCAGTGCTCTTGGGTGAGCAGAGGTACTGTGGTGAGAAGTGGGGGCACTGTCGAGGATAGCAAGACCTCGGGGCTAAGCAACAGAGAAAAGCCATTTTAAGCAAAATTTTTGGCCAGAAAGATGTAGCTGAGAATTGACATAGGGGCCTGTTCTCCAGTGAACATGTTCTAGATCATCGGGGAGACTGCTTGCTTTCCAGCACACCTGTCCTGGGGCAGGAATCCAGTGTGCCCGTGGGGGTAGAGGTTGTTGGTCTTGTCTTTAGAGGAACTTGTTGGCACACCAACTCTGCCATTCATCTTAGAAATTCATCAGCTGGGTATCTTGTAAAAGCTTAGGATGTTCTTCCCCTTCCACCGGTGTGGTGAACTGTAGAGACATGATTGGCAAGGACATGGATCTTGATGGTTGCTTTTGTCTGACCATGGCTTACCAGTGTTATAGCAGCTTCAGATTGACTTCACCTTGTGCAATAATGAAATCCGTACCTATGTTTGTCCAAACGAGAACCACATTGGATGTCTGTAAAAACCATGAAGATGCCCAACCCTGGACAAAATTCTCCCAAACACTCTGCATCAGAGCTGAGTTTTCTTTGTATATTCCTAGGCCAATAGTAAATTATGTTTTAACATGAGTCAGTCTTGCTAATAATACAAAATCTACACCTAGCTGGAAGTTAAACTTTATCTTCCTGGTAATTTACTGCCTGCCTACCACTGATGTCTGTGGAAACAACAGCTGCCAGGCGATGAGCTGTAGTCTCGAGTTTGCTACATGGCCACTGACCCTGCTCATTAAGGCCATTGCTTGTTACTCAGATGGAGAGTGTCTTACCACAGTTACTTCTGCTCACTGGACAGAAGTGTCTTTCTGGCTCACACAGTGTGGCCTTAGGAACATGCATCTCCAAGATGGGTTCATTTACTTATTTTGGGTTTTTCAAGACAAGGTTTCTTTGTGTAACGATCCAAGCTATCCTAGAACTCGCTTTGTAGACCAGGCTGACCTAGAACGAATAGTGATCTGCCTGCTTCTGCCTCGTGAATGTTGGGATTATAGGCTCGTACCACCACTACCCAGCAGAAATTTTTTGAAACAGCTACTGGCTGAATGATGTCACCATAAGGATTCCTTTTATTTTAAAGAGTTTTTTTTTTATATTTATTTATTATGTATACAGTTTTCTGCTTGTATATATTGTATCTTCTGCCTGCAGGTCAGAAGAGGGCACCAGATCTCATTATAGATGGTTATGGATGGTTGCTGGGAATTGAACTCACAGGACCTTTGTAAGAACAGTCAGTGCTCTTAACCTCTGAGCTATCTCTCCAGCCGGAGAGTTATGTTCTTTATACATTTGAGAATGAACAAGTTGAAAGAATAGACTATCGTTGTTAAAGAAGTCAAAAGATTTTATTCAGATCTTGTGCATCAGGATGTATGTGTATATTGAAGAAAACGTGTTTCAATTTGAGAACTGGAAAATTGGATATTATCATTTCATATTTTTAAATTTAAAAAGAAGACTGTTATTCCATTATTGGTCCTTGGTTTACCATTGAGCTGCCCTAACCTTTCTTATGTTTGTTAGTTATGCACAGGGAAGCAGTGGGGGACTTTGGCATTCCAGGACAATACTCTGAAGAGAAGACGGTCCACACAGCTGAGGACCCACTTCCTTTCCAGTCATTTCTCAGATGCATGCATAGAGCCAGTGCGGCTCCCTGCTGGAGCCTGAGGCCACCTGACAGTAGCCAAGCATCCCTGGCTGATTACATGCTTAGCTTTTTGTTTTTGTTTTTGTTGTTGTTGTTTTGTTCAGACAAGGTCTTGGTTTATATTCTTGGTGCCTTGCCTTTATTCCCAGCACTCTGGAGGCAGGGGCAGGTGGATCCCTGTGAGTTCAAGGCCAGCCTGGTCTACAAGAGCTAGTTCCCGAACAGGCTCCAAAGCTACAGAGAAACCCTGTCTCGAAAAACCAAAACAAACAAACAAACAAAAAAAAAAACCAACTCATGCAGAGACCAGGCTGGCTGTAAACTTGCCATCTTCCTGTCTCTGCCTCCTAAATATTGAGATTATAGGAGTGTACCACCTTGCTGAAACAAGCAGGGCATTTCTCCATTTCCAAGTGTTACATAGTTAATCCTTGTATGTTTAATGTTGTAAATATTTGACTTATAATTTAACATTATTTTTATGCCATGTAGAAGATGCAGTTTTATTTTAATCTTAGAATATGCAGGAGAATGAAGAAATGGGGGGCAGGAACATAGCTTCTATTTTCTTCTAAACGTATAGTGTTAAATATACCAAGAGCATTAACATGAAACTAAAGCCTGGAATTGGCAGACAGGATAAGCCACTGTAGTCAGAGACAAGTATGGGAATTTAAGGGTTCTTCCAGAGCTTGTTTCCATTTTCTTCGTTGTTGAAACTAGTGTCACCAGTCTGTTTTACCATTTTATTTTTATGGTGAGGCCATTGGGAGGATTAGCTTAGGTTCCAGGCTCTAATGTACCTCTGTGGAAAACATCTAACACTGATGCCTTAGAAGTACTCCATAGAGAAGGAGTGTGTTTGACGTAGATACAAAATGTCAGAACTCACTGGGTACACAGAGAAGACGAGGGGAAGCAGAACCCCCAGATACTGTTCCCTTGAATGACAGGAGTAAGGCAGACCAGCCCTGAGTAAGCATGACCACCATGAGGATGAGAACAGACAGAACAGCAGAGAACTCTGCATTGTTCAGAGAACCCCAAGAAGCTTTGTCCCCTCCCCCACAGCATTGCCAGAATGTTGGGCCCAAAAGAAGGAGCAGGTTACCAGATGTTGTGTCCACAGCCTGGGGAGGAGGAAGATGATCTGACTTAGAGAACTGGGTCACTGCTCTACAGGGCTCACCTCCATGAACGACAAAGGAACGTAAGCAACACGGAAGGAGTCCCTGTGCTGTCCGGAACCACGGAGGCCCAGGAGAGAAGGAACAGAGAGACAGTTTGAAGGCTGCAGGATTCAAGATGGGCAGTACCCCATGAGGGACAAGCACAGATGTGGATTGCTAAGTCAGTGAGAAACCTGCCTATTAGGAAGGGCTGCCACTGATGGACATACATCCTACACTATCAACGGTTTCTTTGGGCCATGTCAGTGGCAGCATCAGTGAGAGGGATTGCCTCCATTCTGTCTTCTCTACAGATAACACAAGTGGCCTTAGAGACAGCTAAGATAATATCACACATTTGGGCTGCCCACCAGCTGAACTTGGCTGTGAGACTAGTGCCAGGCCACCCGTCTGTCAAAGCAGGGCTCCTGGTGCTGTTAATTCTGTTAATTTTTCTTCCAAGTACGTTCTGTGACATAGGATCTGTATATTACTCTTCCTATGAAACGGTCATCCCCAAGAGACTGCCAGTCAAGGGGAGTGAAGATCCCGGAGGAAGGGTGTCCTACATGCTGTTGATGCAGGGCCGGCAGCAGCTGCTTCACCTGGAGGTAAAGGGAGACCACTCTGCCAGTAACTTCCCAGTCTACAGTTACCACAATGGCGTCCTGGGGCAAGAAATGCCTCTCCTCTCACAGGACTGCCACTATGAAGGTTACATGGAAGGGGTGCCAGGCTCCTTTGTCTCTGTCAACATCTGCTCAGGCCTCAGGGGCATCCTGATCAAGGAGGAAACATCCTACAGCATCGAGCCTGTGCTCTCCTCCAAAGAGTTCGAACACACCCTGTACACTGTGGCACATCAGCCTCGCGTCTCCTGCAGTGTCATTCCCAAAGACAGCCCAGGGGACACTGGGCAGCAGCAGAGGAGCAGGAGACCCGATGACCCACGGGAGCTGTCTGACTTGTGGTCACACACCAAGTACGTGGAGATGTTCGTCGTGGTCAACCACCAGCGGTTCCAGATGTGGAGCAGCAACATCACCGAGACGGTCCGGGCAGTAGTGGACATCATTGCTCTGGCCAACAGCTTCACTAGGGGACTAAACACAGAGATGGTGCTGGTGGGCGTGGAAGTCTGGTCAGAGGGGGACCTGATAGAGGCCCCGGTGGACCTGCAGGCTACACTGAGGAATTTCAACCGCTGGAGACAGGAGGAGCTCCTGGGCCGTGTCAGGCATGATGTGGCACACTTGATCGTCGGGCATCACCCAGGAGAGAACGAGGGCCAGGCGTTTCTCGATGGTGCCTGTTCTGGTGGGTTTGCAGCGGCTGTGGAGGCCTTCCATCATGAAGATGTCCTGCTGTTTGCGGCGCTCGTGGCCCACGAGCTGGGGCACAACCTGGGAATCCAGCACGACCACCCAGCCTGCGCCTGTGACCCTAAGCACTTCTGCCTCATGCACGAGGATATCACCAAGGACAGTGGCTTCAGCAACTGCAGCGCTGACGACTTCTACCGTTTCCTCCATGACCACAGAGGGGCCTGCCTGCTTGACAGGCCTTGGCACCAAAGCCGCAAGCGCAGAGCTGCCCGTTGTGGAAACGGTGTGGTGGAGGAGTCAGAAGAGTGTGACTGTGGTTCTGCTTGTGACAGTCACCCATGCTGTGAGCCAACGTGTACACTGAAGGACGGTGCAGAGTGCAGTGATGGCCTCTGCTGCTACAATTGTAACTTCAGAAAGAAAGGGGCCTTGTGTCGTCCTGTTGAGGATGTGTGTGACCTCCCCGAGTTCTGTGATGGCCATTCCCAAGAATGCCCTGTAAACAGCTACAAGCAGGATGGCACGCTGTGTGACAGGATTTATTACTGCTCTGGGGGTTGGTGTAGGAATCCTGATAAGCAATGCACAAAGATCTATGGGTATCCTGCAAGATCCGCCCCTGACGACTGTTATATTTTAATGAACACCAAAGGGAACCGGTTTGGAAACTGTGGCCATCCCAGCACTGCTAACTCAGGATACGAAACGTGTTCTGATGAGGATATATTTTGTGGCAAACTGGTATGTACTGATGTTAGTTACTTGCCACAAGTCAGACCCCTGCACACTCTCCTCCAGGTTCCTTATGGAGATGACTGGTGCTGGAGCATGGATGCCTATAACGCTACTGATGTTCCAGATTTTGGAGATGTGCAGAATGGTACTTACTGTGCCCCTAACAAAGTCTGCATGGAGTCCTTGTGCACTGACCACACGGTGCTCCAGTACGACTGTGAACCAGAGGAAATGTGTCACGGAAAAGGAGTGTGCAACAATCTCAGGCACTGTCATTGTGATGATGGTTTTGCTCCTCCCGACTGCAACAGCCCAGGAAATGGGGGCAGTGTGGACAGTGGTCCTGTTGGTAAGCCAGCTGATCGAAACTTGAGTTTATTTACAATTTTCGGACAAGAGAAGCCTAAGGTGGAAGAAGATGAAGATGTAAACATGGAAGTGGTGCTGTTTGTGGTCCCTATATTTCTTGTCCTTTTACTGTGTTGTCTGATGCTGATCGCTTACCTCTGGTCTGAAGTACTAGAAGTAGTATCTCCAGAGAGTTCATCATTTTCTTCAACAGAATCCTCAGAAGCAGCACCTCCTCGGGGGGCTCCACCCCCCAGGAAGTATTATTGAAGATCTTCTCATGGTCGCTGCTATCAACGTCTTTTATCTGCAGGGCAGTTTTGACTGGTTTTCAGGGTGGACTGCATCTGCACTGTTTAGTGTAATGTGTTATCACCTCAGTAACAACTGCGATTACATCGTGAGTGCTTTCATGGGAACTGAATGTTATAACTTGCCCTGTCGGCTGCTGTTGATAAAGTAGAAGTGGTTTTAAATAAATATAAATAATAAGGTCTTTTCCCCCTTCAGATGATGCATCACTCCAGACTAGTCATCCTCATAATGGGATCTTCAGCTTTCAGGCTTTTTGGACAAGGCCAGACCTCAGGTGCCCAGTAAGTGCTTGGCACAGTAGTCGGCCTCAGCACAGTCCGAGCTCATAATAGCAACATTTAATTTTTCTATTTGATTTCTCAGTTTTTCTATTGAATTTGATTTTTAAAAATATTTATTTATTATGTATACAATATTCTGTCTGTGTGTATGTCTGCTGGCCAGAAGAGGGCACCAGACCCCATTACAGATGGTTGTGAGCCACCATGTGGTTGCTGGGAATTGAACTCATGACCTTTTGGAAGAGCAGGCAATCCTCTTAACCACTGAGCCATCTCTCTAGCCCCTTGAATTTGATTTTTAAAAGATTTATTAGCTGTGTAGTAGTGGAGCACACCTTTAATCCCAGCACTTGGGAGAAAGAGGCAGGCGGATCTCTGAGTTTGCGGCCACCCTAGTCTACAAAGTGAGTTCCAGAATAGTTAGGGCTACACACAGAAACCCTGTCTCAAAAAACGAAACAAAACAAAATAATGCCTGCATATGAGCATGTGTGCAAGTTGTGTGCCTAGTACCCAAGGAGGCCAGAAGAAGATAGTGTTGGTTCCTGTGGAACTAGAGTCAGACAGTGTGAGCTGTCATGTAAGTATTAGGGCCCTCTGCACGGCCAGCAGGTTCTGGAACTCCTGAGCATCTCTCCAGCTGCAGCTTGGCATCTAATGTCCTGTGACATCTGACAACACTGCCTGGTCTTCAGTATGGAGGTGGTCTCCTGTTAGAGCCAGCAGAAAAGCTCGGCTCATTCCTTATGACATGACAGTCAATGCTGTTATCTCCCTAGCTCCCAGGAAACAGGCAGAAAGAGCAAGTAGTGAGTACTGCACACCCAAGTTTAACCCAGCAGCCACATTCCATGCCCCACGAGCCTTTCCCATCAGTGAAAAGGAAGAACAATGGGTGAGTCTGTAAGTGTCCACGCCATCCCTTTCTCACGCAGATGCTGAACTCTCAAGAACCTCGTGCACAGTGCAGTCAGTATGCGGCTGTCTAAACTCTATCCACTATAAATCAATAGTATTCTTGCCTAGCACACACAGTCCTCAATCAGCTATGGTATCTCTTGCCTGTAACCTCAGCACTAGGAGGCTGAGGCAGAAGAATTGCCATAAATGCAAGCCCAGCCTGGACTATAGAGTAAAACCCTTATAATAAAAAGTTCTAATTCATTGTGTAGTTCTAGAACTATATCAAGTCTTGCTTTGTTTTGTAAGTGGAAGATGCTGGCCCTCAGGATGACAGCAGTTAGATGCTAGAATCTAGGTCCTAGCAGCCATTTTCAACCATTTATGAAGAAGCAACAAAATAACTTTAAGGTGACCTTGTTCCAGGCCACACCCTCTGCCTAGAGCCATCATGCAGATGAGCTGGCACAGAAGAACACTATGGGGTTGTGTCCGGGGGACAACCCAGCAGTCTTTGGGGGCCACACTTTCCCAACTGTCCATTCCTTTCCTCAGCTCTTGTCAGAGCAGTGGTGACACCAGAGCAGGTGGCCTGCTATGTGCAGCGTCAGTGCTGGAGCGGGAGGGGGGCTAGGGGCTAGGGCAGGCCAGCTGTGCTTGCCACGGGGATGTTAGAGAGTTAGGACAGCCCCACTCCCCAGACAGCAGGAGACGAGCTATGCTAGAATCTGGTCTCAGGGTCTCTGTCTCTCCCTCTTTCTGTCTGTCTCTGTCTGCCTCACCCCTGCCTCTCTCTCAGAATATAAAACAATGTCTTCACTCTCCTTTCATGCAAACACCATTGCACAGCCCCTCACTGCCTTGTCAGGTCTCTCTGTGAGTCCTCAAGTGTCTCCTTCAAGGTTCAGATCAGTGGCCTCTAATAAATAATTTTACTGAGATCCAGTCCACCTGCACATGCTATCAGCTATACATCCAGAATGTGGTGTCTTTTCAGCACCCCGAACCTTCCAGTGCTGGGCAGCTCAGCATCAGCACCCATGGGCAATTGCAGAGGACATGAATTGATCTCTGCTTCTGCCTTGTAGTCAGTGTGGCTCTTAAATGGAAATGAGATCACCAGTGAACTTTTAGATGTCACTGATGGATCCATAAAGAGGCCTAGATTGCTTGTGTGACCTGTCATGTGCTTGTAAGCTCCAGTGGAATGATCTGGATTAGGGGGAACCTTATAAGCCCATCGGTGGAGCTTTTTCATGACTTTTTAAAAAAAAAATGTTAATGGGTGTTTTGCCTGCATAATATCTGTGCATCACATCTGCCTATGCCTGGTGTCTGCAGAGCCCAGAAGAGGGGGTTAGATTCCTTGGAATTGGGGTTAAAAACCACCCTATGGGTGCTGAGAATTGAACCTGGATCTTCTACAAGAGCAATCAGTGCTCTTAACCACCCAGCCATCTTTCTAGCCTTAAATGACAACTTTTTAAATTTTTTGTTTGTTTCTTGAAACAAAGTCTCTTATGCAGCCCAGCTGTTCTGAAACTCGCCACTATATAGACCAGGCTGGCCTTGAACTCTTAGAAATTCACCTGCCTCTGGTCTCTAAGTGCCAGGACTAAAGGTGTGCACCACCATGCTAGGCTTGCTCTCTGAGACAATGTTTCATGTAACCTAGGATCACCTTGGACCTGGAATAGAGATGAGACTGGCCTAGAACTTTTGACCCATCTCTTGAGTGCTGGGAATACAGATGTGCACCACCGCCCAGTTAAATAAGTGTTCTTAAAAATGTCTGTCTTCTGCAGGCCTTTAATCCCATTGCACTCAGGAGGCAAAGGCAGGCAGATCTCTGTGAGTTTGAGGCCACCTTGGTCTTCGGAGGGAGTTCCAGGACAGCCAAAAACCAACAACAAAGGGTGCCTATATTCATTAGTCCCTTGGGAGATGTAGAGAAAATCACGTATCTCAAAAAGTAAGGCTAATAGCCAATACTGAGAATTAGAAATACCCATAATGTTTGCAGAGTATGGGGTATCAGGTTGAAATAGTTTATCACATTCTAGTAAGATTTACACTCTGCCATCTCACGAGCTGGGATTTCCCTCCCAGATACATCTGTCTTCCAGAGACCATGTACATTTGTCGTGCACATCATTAGTAATATCCAAAACGTTGCTTATAGTATTGCCCAGACTAGAAGGGGTGGCCAGGGAGTGAGTTGTAAGGGACTACTAGATTAGCACAGAGAGGACAGAAATGAGCCAGGGTTTCATGTGGTAACATGATGACAACTTAGAATGTGAATAAAGAAGCTAAATGTAGATTTTATACATGTGCTTGTATAAAATCCAGAAAGGCAAATGAAATGATGTTATTATATATCTAGAAAGCAAAATTACCAATGTGGAAAAAACACCATACAAAGAGCATGGTTGTGCATAGTGGGGAAGGTTCAGACATTCAGTAGTCTATGGGTATGGGTTCTGAAGACCTTACAATGGTAAGTATTGGGTGAAACTGGTGGCTAAATAGTTCTATCTTACTCCTTCCCTCAAATCTACACATCTTCAAAATGTACTGTACCATTTGGGAAACACTAAGGCCCGACCCAGTACCCTGCAGATTGAGGACCACTGCTGTCATGGCTAGCACCCTTGGGTCCCATCTGCTTTCTTACTTGAACTTCTCTAACCCACAGCCTTGAGACCTCAGCTACTAGAGAGTGAAGCCAGACTTCACACACTTCCATCCTTTCTCATTGGTCCCTTAGGAAGTCCCAGGTACACCCTGCAGCTCCAGGGCTGTGGCTACTTGTGTTGCCAGCCTCAGGAGAACCTGTTTCACCAAGAGAACTAAGGGACTCTCTCCAACCTGACATTAGGACTGTGGCTGCTGATGCCACTTGTCCTACAACACGCCCAGTGTTATGTGTGCTTGTCCTCAAGGCGGTACACAGTACATGCTGCTACTCTAGTACCATCTGCATATAGCTTGTGTACACTAGGGAAGGGCTTCCTGATACTAACTGCTCGTGCAAAAAATTCCAGGCCCAGCCGGCGGTGGTGGCGCACGCCTTTAATCCCAGCACTCGGGAGGCAGAGGCAGGCGGATCTCTGTGAGTTCGAGACCAGCCTGGTCTACAAGAGCTAGTTCCAGGACAGGCTCCAAAACCACAGAGAAACCCTGTCTCGAAAAACCAAAAAAAAAAAAAAAAAAAAAATTCCAGACCCAGCCTAGCTTGTCTCTCAGGATAAGAAGGTTCCAATCTGCATCCTGTAGCCCCAGGATCATGAATACCAATGACACAGGCTTTAGTTACATCAGTACTGTTCTGTGTAACTTAGGCACATTGCTATCTATGTCTTATAGCTCCAAGACTTCAATTACTAAAGTTATATGCTTCAATACTACATGCACTCACAGGACAGGAGAGATTTTCATAGATTTGAGACCCAGACTTCGGTACCAAAACTCTGAGTATGTAAGATTTTCCCTTGGTAACAGCCAGTAGCTTTAGCACTACAACCCCTTGACTATCTGTAGTCATCCTCCAAAGGATCTAGTGGAGGTTCTCTTTGTCACACACAACCTCGAGCTTGCAATTCCTGGCACTACACCCTATATTAATTGTGCCCATCCCAGGGGAGCTTGAGAAGAGTCTCTCCTTCCTGTGGAGTAGCAGAACAGTTCTACTTCGTGTGTTTTGACTTATAGATCATGCCTACATGTGTCACGGATGTTAGCCTTACCTCTGTCCTGAACAAACTGTCTCCCTCTGGTACCACTGAGGTAGCACTCACCATGAAACCAAGTGCCATCCATACTCAACTGCAGAGAGGGAAGACACCAAGCTGCATAATTCATAATCGCTAGTCTCCAGGTTCTCACTCACTCCTGACTATAATGGTATTTTATTTGTGTTTTAATAAATAAAGCTTGCCAGAAGATCAGAGTGCACAGCTAAGTCACTAGAGGCTGGGAGTGGTGGATTTAAAGTCACTCTGGGCTACAGGAGATTGAATCTGTCTAAAAGAAAAATAGAATTCACACAAAGGTGCTCCCAGTACTTGGTAGTCACATGCCTGTAACCCCAATAGCACTAGGGAGGTGGAGACAGGAGGGATATGGTTGGGCAGAGAGGTATATAAAGCAGGAGGAGACAAGAGCTCTTTGCAGCTTGAGGTTTGGTGGAGAGCATTGCAGTCTGCAGTCACACTGAAGACAGGACTGCCCCCTTTGTTTTAGCCTTGGTAGAGGTAAGAACTCTCCAGTGACTTGGCTGCTTTGCTTTTCTGATCTTCAACTTGAACCCCAATATCTGTCTCTGGGTATTTGTTAGTTGTGCTATATCTGGTGCCCAACTTTTGGAATACAAACCAACATAGGCCGAGCTACATGTAGACAGAGTCCCCACCCTACCAGGTAGGCTTCTCTTTATTCTTTCCTGGTGGGCTTTCTCTGAACCCCGTTCTTGGGCTTCTGCCAAATTAGGTAGCTGCCTTAAAATCCAATCAGGCTTTTACTGTTCTATGCAGCAGCAATAAGCCTCACATCTTCATCATCACTGGCATCAGATTTGGGGAGAAAACTGGGAATTCTTTAAAGGAGGAATTTAATTAAAATGGAGTTTTTACCCCACATAAAATTGGGAACACAATTTGACAGAGATAGTTATGTCTTTGAAGCCGGGTGGCGGTGGTGCACACCTTTAATCCCAGCACTCGGGAGGCAGAGATAGGCAGATCTCTGTGAGTTCGAGGCCAGCCTGGTCTTCAAGAGCTAGTTCCAGGACAGGAACCAAAAGCTACGGAGAAACCCTGTCTCGAAAAATCCAAAAAAGAAAAAAAGAAAAAGAGCTAGTTCCAGGAGAGGCTCCAAAGCCACAGAGAAACCCTGTCACAAAAAAGAAAGAAAAAAGAAAGAAAGTTAGGTCTTTGTATGATTATATAATGTATAATTTAAAAATGGAACCTCTACATGAAGAGATAATCAACTTAACCAGGAGTGACGTAGGATTTATTATCATTTTGATAATCCTTGTTGTCGTTTTGATAATTCTTTATCTCTTAAAAAGTTGTTTGGTTCAACTGCCAAGATACAAGCCTTAGAAAAACTTAATAAAACAGATCATAGAGATATTCAGATCCAGACAGAGAAATTTAATGAAGAACCATTTTCAGCATTGCATTATAAAGTTAGGGAGGAAGAGCCTAAGGTTTTCAAACAACCAACCTTAACATATCCAGTAACCTTACAGGAATTGCCAAATGATAAAGGTTCTGTAAGAGCTGATTGGACTCTTATGGCAATGTTAGATTTAAGGAGATTCAAGGAAGCAATAGTCTCATATGATATGCATTCACCTTTTGTGAAACAAATATTAAACTCATGGTCACTTTGCAATAAAATTATCCCTAAAGACTGGATAGCTTTGATTAAAGTGTTTTAGAACCTAGCCCACAATTACAAAGGAGTACCTGGTTCAGAGAAGAGGCTAAGATTATTGAACAATAGAGTAAAGCTAGAGGTAGGGAAATCTCCCAAGATAAAATTCTTGGAGAAGGAAACTTTGCTACTGTAGAAAGGGAATCCTTATACGATGACCATGCCCTGGCTTTATACCATGCAGCAACTTTGAATGCTTGCAACAGAACTGGAGAAATAGGAAAGAAAATGGAGTCATTTATTAAAGTTATACAAGGCCCAAAGGAAGCCTTCATGGATTTCTTAAAAAGACTGACTTCAGCAGTAAATAGAATGATACCAGATTCAGAATCTAGATAAATAATTGAATCTCTGGCTTTTGAAAATGCTAATTCTCAATGCAGACGTATAATTTGGCCTTTAAAGACAAGGACAATACCCTTGGAGGAATGAATCTGAGATACAATCAATATTGAACTTCATGACCACAATGATGCTTGGACAGAAGAGAGGATTTCCAGAGGTTTGAGGAAAAACTGAAATGTCAAGAGTCATAATTGAGACAAGCAAAGTCACCTTGAAAGGGATTGTAGACAGGGTGTTCCTAGAGACAATGTTTTTTTCTAAGCATAATTCAAACAGAATGCCTCTTCCCTCTGGATTATGCAGAAGGTGTGGCAAAGGTAGGCATTGGACTTATGAATGTAGGTCAACAAGGGACAGACAAGATAGCCCTTTGCCACTGGGAAACTCTTTGAGGGGCTTCTCGCAGGCCCCCATGCCTAATTTGGTTCAGTCATTTCCTGTAACCATGGAGGAAATTCCTTGCCAGAACAATTAAGGAACCTAATGCTTATAATAAGAAACCATACTGCTCTGGATTATAGAACAGATATAGATGAGAGAACAAAAAATTCAGAAGAAACCATAAAGCAAATATTTTGGCAAACTTGTATAAATGAACAAAGACCAAAATTAAAACTATGAATAAACATTGTCATTGAAGATCTTGTAGACACATGTGTAGATGTAACGATAATTTCATCAGAATCTTGGCATCCAAATTGGCCTCTTCAGGATGTAAATCTTCAGTTTTTAGGGACTGGAACTTAATCTCAGGTAAAACAGAGCATGAGATGGGTCGAATGTATAGGGATGGAAGGACAGAGAGAAAAATTAAAGCCATATGTGGCTAACATAGCAATGAATCTGTGGGGAAGGGATTTGTGACAGCAATGGAACACTCAGATTAATATTCCCCCTATATTAGAAACAAAGAATACATTAATATGTTTCTGGGGGAAATATTAGGTATTATAAAGAACAGTCACCAACCAATCAGGTTGTACTAGGAACAGGGCACCACAACTATTGTTCTTCCAAAGGCACCAACAACCCTACCTTTAAAATGGTTGACAGACAAACCTCTATGGGTTAAGCAATGGCCTTTAATAAGAAAGAAACTGCAGGCCTTAGAACAGTGGACACAGAAGCAACTAAATGCTTTTTATATTTAAAAATCAACCAGCCTTTAGAATTCTCATGTATTTGTTATTAAAAAGAAATTTGGAAAATGGAGACTGGTAACAGATCTAAGAGCTGTTAATAAGGCGATTCAGCCAATGGGCTTTCTACAGTCTGCCATTCCTTCGCCTTCTACTTAAGGGATTGCCTCTTCTAGTTATTTAAAAGAAATAATCACACAAAAACTGTATTATTACAACAACCGCTTGACCTATTAGTTCACAGTTCTTATTGGCTAGCTCTTATATCTTAAATTAACCCATTTCTACTAATCTGTGTATCGTTATATGGTTGTCGCCTACCGGTAATGTGGTTCCAGCATCTGTCTCCTGTGGCGGCTACATAGCTTCTCTTTTACTCCACCAATTTTCTCCAAGCATTCAGCTTAGTTTCCCCCACCTAGCTCTATTCTGCCCTGCCACAGGACAAAGCAGCTTCTTTATTAACAATGGTAATAAAATATATTCACAGCATACTGAAGGGAATCACAAATAAACTATAATTTTACAAGAAAAAGGCAGAAAAATTTGCCTTCACAGTGCCTACTTATAATAATTCTCAACCTGCTAAGAGATATCAACAGAATAGTCTCCCACAGGGAAGTTTAAATAGCCCCACCTTGTGCCAATATTTTGTAGAGCAGTCATTGGAAATGATACATAACAATTTCCTCAATCTATAGTTTACCATTACATGGATGACATTTTATTATCTGATTCAAACATAGATACTTTTGAAAGAATGTTTGAAGAAGTAAAGAAAATTTTGCTTTGTTGGGGATTATAAATTGCTCTTGAAAAAATACAAATATTTTATTAATTATTTAGGTTATAAAATAGGCTTATAAAAAGTTAGACCCCAAAAGGTAGATAGAGTATAGAAGAGATCAATTGAAGACTCTTAATGGCTTTCAAAGATTGCTAGGAGACATTTCCCATCTACGGCACACTTATATGAGGCCACCAAATGACAGGAATTTTTTTTTTGATTTTTCAAGACAGGGTTTCTCTGTAGCTTTGGAGCCTGTCCTGGAACTAGCTCTTGTAGACCAGGCTGGCCTTGAACTCACAGAGATCCACCTGCCTCTGCCTCCTGAGTACTAGGATTAAAGTGTGCCACCATTGCCCGGCAGAGTGACAGGACTTTTTATGGACTGAACACCACTAGCAAACATTTGACAAACTCAAGCAAAGTCTGCTCTGGGCCCCCACTTTGGGCCTGCCTGACATGACCACGCCCTTCCACCTATTCATGGATGAGCAAAAAGGAATAGCTAAAGACAGTTTGACCCAACTGCTGGGTCCCTGGTAACGACCAGTGGCCTATTTGTCAAAAGAGTTAGATCTGGTGGCATCTGGGTGCCCCCCTGCCTCTGCATAATAGTGACTGTAGCCCTATTAATAAAAGATGCTGGCAAATTGACTTTAGGACAAATCTCACCACAACCACCCCCCATGCTCTAGAGGGAGCCCTCAAGCAGCCCCCTGGCAGGTGGTTAAGTAATGCCAGAATGACCCACTATCAGACTCTGTTGCTCAATCCTGCCAGAATAACATTTTGGGTGCCCGCAACCCTCAGTCTGACCACCCTACTACCCGACCCAGACCTGGAAGCACCCTGGAATGACTGCTCCAGGATCCTGGCTCAGGTACACTGTCTTTGACCTGATCTGAGGGACACCACTCTGACTGATGCACCAATGGGAGCAGCTTTGTGCAGAATGGACAGAGGTCTAGTGCAGTCAACTGTCTAGGGCTGAACCAGTGCCCACTGCTCAAGGAGCAGAATTAGTGGCCCCAACAAAGGTCCTGGAACTGGGACAGGGATGGAAGGTTATCATATACACTGATAGCTGCTATGCATTTGCTGCCACCCATATACATGGGTGAAAGGGGGCTGTTGACAGTGGAGAGGAAGACTATCAAAAATGAAGAAGAAGCTGAGTGGTGGTGGCACACACCTTTAATCCCAGCACTTGGGAGGCAGAGGCAGGTGGATCTCTGTGAGTTCAAGGCCAGCCTGGTCTACAGAGTGAGTTCCAGGACAGGCCCCAAAGCTACAGAGAAACCCTGTTTCGAAAAAAAGAAGAAGAAATTCTGGTCCTTCTCAAAGCCTTATGGAAAGCCAAGAAAGTGGTCATAATACATTATCTGGGACACCAGATGGACGATGGGCCTGTCCTCAGGGGCAACAACTTAGCAGACAAGACTGCCTTGGAGAGAGAGGTACAAACCAGCCCGACCCTGGTTCCAGTCCTGGTAGACCCAGGACCCCTGGTGTTACCTGAGATCCCCAAATACACCTGGGAAGACCTGGCCTGGATAAAATCCCTCCCCATGGTGCAGTGCCTGGGGGGACTGGTGGTGAACAGTGGACAGCAATTGATTCTACCCGAACATTTGGGGCACAAGCTGTTCCAAAAGATCTACTGCTCCTCTCACACGGGGACCCGCAGAATGCAAGATATGTTATGGCAGACTGAAGTTGAAATTAAAGATGGACATCAGAAGGTTATGGACATAGTCTCTAAATGCAAAGCCTGCCAACTTACCAATGCTGTTGCAAACCCCAGGAATCATAGGACCCAACTCAGAGGGAAACAGCCTGGCACGTACTGGAAGGTGGGTTTTTCTGAAATTAAATCCACCAAGTATGTATATAAATATTTATTAGTATTCATAGATACTTTCTCAGGCTGGACAGAAACATTCCCTACCAAACTTGAGGCAGCACAGGTGGTGGCAAAGAAGGTCCTGGAAGGTGTCTTGCACAGGTATGGGTTTCCTTCCATGTTGTGTCCCAGGTGAGTCAGAATTTAGCCCCTGTCCTGGGGAGTGATTGGAAATTGCATTGTGCTTATAGACCCTAGAGTTCAGGACAGGTACAACTCATGAACAGAACTCTAAAAGAGACCCTTACCAAATTAGCCCTGGAGACTAGCATGAACTGGGAGGCCTTGTCCCCCTTTTTCTTGTTCAGA